CCCCTCTACAGATGAAATTCTCAAATAGTGCTTATAGCAGTGTCATCATCAGAGACAAAAAAAAAAAAAACATCCATCACTCAGACGCCGCACGGGCTAGCCAGCACCCAACACGGGGAGAATTCAGAAAAGCCAACAGCTCGGTGTGCGCGTCATTAGTGATGGAGCAGGGCTCTCAGTCACTGTGTGTGAGCGGCTCCAGCGGGGCCAATCAAATCTTCCTTAGAGGTGAGAACCAGTGACTGTTGGCATCAATGTAGAGCTTTCTCAGGGGTAAGACACTCAGCGGGCAAAAGGCTTCTTCATACTTTTTTTTTATAAAATTTTTGCATGGGGCACAGAAATAAATCTAAATAAATAAATGAAACCCACCAGGTACAAAGTCAGAGACTATACTTTCTGCTTAGCTCTTGTGGCATTGGAGTTGTTTTTAGGATGCAGGGATTGTCGTGGTGCCTCTTGTTAAGGCTGAAACATGGGACCAGGGCTGAACTCTCCCCATTCTCTCATGAGAAGTGGCATGTGCCTAGACACCCGGCCCATTTCCAACCCTGCATTTTTGAGCTTCCCAGGCCCTTTCTTGTGCTTTTCATATTATCTTTTCTGTCCACAAAGATTTTGAAAAATGAGCAGAGTGCAAGTAGCCCCTGAAATAAAGGCGTCATTTAAAGAACAAAGTAGAATGAGGGATCCAATTAAAATGATGAAAATCTTTAATTTTTATTTAGGTATACTTGTACGGACACGTGTATATACAAATACAGATCATATGGGTTTCTTTGTGTGTGTATTTTTTTTTACATTTTTTTTTTTGTTTATTTAATGTCAGCATTTCAAAACAGCACTGGATGAGGAAGTGGGAGGGGGGCTGCAAAGCAGGGCAGTACAAGCATAGGACCACACGGAGCTGGGCTTCCCACCCAGACGCACACACAATGAGTGGCCTCAATGGGGTGTCAGGAGTAAGCATGGAAAGCGGCTTCTGACTCATGGGTAACCTCCAACATGGCAGCCTCTATTACACTGTACACAACGGGAGCGAGCCCATTGCAGGGAGATGTGTCTCACGTCTGAGCAGCTCTGGGGCAAAATGCATGGGAGAAATTCAGTGATGCCAGGGACAGACCTGCCCATTCCCGGCGCTGAGGGTGAGTGAAAAACGTAGGGAGAAGGCAACTGAACCGTCACCACCACTACAAGAACAAAATCATCATCAACGGTCAACATCAAAAGTGAAGGGCAGGAGTATAAGCAAACGGGGGTGTCGGTGGAGGTGATGCAAAAGAAAAGCTAGTGACCACGTCTCGGAGCGCATGAATGGAAGGGAGGCGTTGAAGGCTGCCCTTTTAAGTTTCGGAAATGAATTAAAATGGCTGCTGCCGTTGCTAAGGCACAGGAGAAAAAAACGAGAGTCCCTGACAATCCACAGGTACCGTGTGACCCTTCCTTTCACAACGACACAGAGAGGGAGACAGCCCCGTTCCACCTGCCTCCGTGCGTGGGTTCACAACTGCTCCCCCCGTGTGAGCTGCCCACGCCACCGACAGGACTCTGCTGGGGGGACGGGGAGGACGGGAGGAGTGGGAGTGGTGAGGGGATGGGACAGTCCAAGAAAACAATCACAAACAGAAAACCAGAGTACAGAACCGCTCTACTCATTTCCCTAACTCTTGTCAAAACAGAAAGGCTGGCGAGGGCAGGGGGGCACAGAGCTCCACCAGCAGACCTTGAAAACACGGACGCCCACAAGTAGTCAAGAAAGTCACATGTCCCAGGTCCCCAGCTGATGGAGTCCTAAGGTAGGGTGGGTAGTGAGCACGGCGTGAGTCCCTTCTAAGAGCAGTGTCTCGCATCTGCGCCTCGTCTCCTCGGTCACATACACCCTGGATGTCTCAAAGCCTCAATGCATGTGTTGCATCCTGAAAGTCTATTGTTCTCACTTACAAAAGACATAAGAATCAAATTAATACTTTATTATCAAACACTATATACAACAGAGGTTGCTAATAATACAGAATTTAAAGAACGCAGGTTTTTTTTTTTTTTTTTAGCTTTTACTTATCTTTCCTCTGCCACCCAAGAAAGTACAGTACAAAACAATAGTCTAAACTATCACGAACTGTTACCTGGTCTATTAAAGGATACACGGTATCCACTAAACAGACAGATCCTTATTTCCTTGCTTCATGTTGCAAAACCCTTGGCAACCAGGGGCAGAGGTGGCTGGAGTTTGAATAACCTGGCCTGGGAGGCCACAGTGCTGGTTGCCCTTTCAGACGTAGGATTGTTGTTGGAATTCAAAGCTGCTAAAAAAAAGTTGTATCTACATCCTCCTAGGGACCCAGGGGATTGTTAGAGCACACAAAAGGCCATCAGCGCTTTTTGGAAAGATGAAAAACTATCTAACACCAACCATCTCGAAAACTCCATGACAAGTGTATTAGCTACATAACCTACAGGGAGAGAAGCATACAGTCTACTGGCGTCAACAGTCTTGCTATTTTTTTTTCTTTTTTTCTTACTGAATTTGCAGTGGCACGATAGTGAGGTAAGGGGGTCTAATTTTGCTGTGAAGAAATGAAAGACAATGGCAGAGGGGGCCATGAGCAATTGCTTCATCATTTGTTAAGAGACAAATGCTAGAAAAACCACAGAAGTTACCATTTCTAAAATGCAATTAGCACTGCTAATGTCGTTATGACTAACTGGAATCATTATAGGAACATTTGATTTCCTTGTGGTTCTAGAACATGCAGGAGTATTCCATGACTAGCAATCCATTTTTTTTTTAGAAGGTTCTGTCCCCCAACCTAAATCCAACCGGACCCAAAAGCCTGTTCACTACTCCTAAATAAGCATTTCCAGGTATGACTTGAGAGTTCAGAGTAGAGGAAAAGTTAAAAGGAAAAAGGAATCAAATGCTGTGAACATTGGCTTCTGCGTCATGGCGGCTACTTCTTGTGGCAAGACTCTGTCACTGCAGAGCTGTCCCCAAAGCCGAGGGAGGGTGATCCATCCTGTTTGCCAGGCTGGCAACCCCACGTGGGTGCCTATGTGTGAGAACAGATCCAGCAGGAGCATGCACTCCAGGAGGATCCGGACAACACGTGCACACCTCGCCAGGGTGCCAGATGTCTAAAGCTCCTTCCACTCACACAGTCTTCTAATGCAGAACTATCCGCCACGCTAAACCAATTGCCCATCATACAAACCCATTCTTTTGTACATACACAATTAAAAAAAAAAAAAGAACCATACATAGATATGTATATAAACCTTATTTTGCTGGAATGCTTTCAATTTTTCACATTTTACATGATCATTGCATTTCTTGATTTTCTCTCTTTACGTTTTGAAAGGCATGATATCTCTTGGCATGTCACGCAATAGCGGAAAAAGGCTACGTTTCTTTCCCGTTACTCTGAATGCTTCCCCCTGTCTAGGCCTTGGAGTTTGAAGTTCACGAGAGCCCTACTGACGGAAACCCTAAGGCTTGCACTTCCTGCTAACATGCTGGAAACAGCCCCTGTTGGCCATGCTGATTTCGGCAACAGGGTCCTCCTGTGTTCATTCGCCTCCTGCCCCGCCCCCACAATGAAACAAGATAGCCCCCATATTTCTAAATGTATCAGGGGACACCACTTTTTCTCACAAGTTTAAATAGGACAAGCATATATACTCACTCTCAGCATAAAGTATATCTAAATAATGTATTTTCTATTCTAGTGGATTTTTAAAAAAATATTTTGTTAAAGTCTTTGGGACTCCATCTTGTTTATCTCCCACAGATAAACACATGTTCCCCTTATGCTTTAGGCTGTGTCAGAAAGGGAAAGAATATAAAATCAACACGTGAATTGTTTTTATTCCAAACTTTGGAATCTTTATTCCAAATTTCCCTGTAGCCCTCCCAAGGAGTGCCGACTGACTCTCCGGATACAGGGGTTTGGGATCTGGCCCCTGCGATCACAGAGTGTGGAGCAAAACGTGGGTGCTGGGGTGGGAGTCGGGGCAAGGCCACAGCACGCTGGAGCTCCAGCAAAGCCAAGTCGCACCTCGTCTGGCCCCCGGCGCCCATTCCTTGGTACATACCACCCCCAGAGGAGCAGCCAAAGCTATTCTACTCTGAACTCATCAACCCTGGCTTGACAGCCTTGGGGAAGGTCACTTTATTCATAAAAATGCCTCTTTTGAGTTTCTAAAAAAATAAAATGAAATCAAAGTTGTAGCACCATGGTGATCTGTGTGTTATTCCAAGAAAGCAAATCTGGTGTGCACTGCCCAATCACCAAAAAAGAATCAGAGGCACTCAGACATCGCAGCCCCACCCATCGCACAATCTCCTCACTTGTTCTGGGTTGGCACTCCTGCCTCTAGCCCGCCTCCCGGAGAAAAGGGCTTCTCTTCCACAGCAGGAGTTCAGCTGGCTGTCAAGAGTGCTTGAAGACAGTCATATATTAAAAAAAAAAATACACAAAACAAAAACCCAGTGTCTCAACCTTGCAGAAGCCTGGTTATTCACCCACTTCTAGAGGAAATGGTGTGATACTGGGTCTATTTTTGAATACCTCTCCGCTGGACCTGACACGGTGGACACAATGCCCTCACAGTCCTGAACAAGAAGGCATAACTATTGTGTGGGAGAGGAAGGCTGTGCCGGCCCAGGTCCCAGGCTGCCCCTGCTACTCTCCTTCCTGTTTACAGCCTGTTGCCTAGCGCGCTAACGGCGGAGGTGCACTCTGACAGCAGGCGCAGGAGCCGACCAACCACCCATGTCCCTATGACAATTTGGCGTTTTCATCTGGAGTCCATTTAATTTGGAAGGGGAGAGAGAGGGAGAAAAAAAGGACGTCGAGGGTAAGGGTCGGGGGTGAGGGAGGCAGCAATTCGCTCAGCCCCCTCCCCCGGCCCCCAGGTGTTGTATAGAATTCAGGCTGAAGGAAAGAAAACAAAACCAAAAAATGTGACATCTGCCGCAAACCAATAACAAGTCCCTTCTTAGGATGAGCAGTTAAGTGGATCTCTGGTGTTCCAGGACCCCGGCGTTCTCTGTGACAGGGCGACGGGAGGAGGCTGTGCTATAATGTCAAAAGCATCGCCAGGAGGAACAGTAGGATTGCCAAAAGGCGGCTGGATATCCTTGGCGTCTGCGCTGCGTTCTCTCCGCGGGATGGCTCGGCTGACTCATGTACGGTGTCATCTGTTCAAACAGAAAGCACACGTTCCAATGAGATTTCACATCCTTAATAACGCGATCGCAGCAGCCTGCTGTTCACAGACCTGGCCACCCTCTGCAAGGCAGGGTAATGAGCCTTGTGCCACCATTGACTTTCATGTCTGCGTAATCACTCATATTTACAGCAAACAGAGGAGGGGCAGAAGCGACTGGACTTTCTCGCCAACAGTAATACTTCCTTTGGGGTGGAAATTGTGCACACGCTGTAACCTCTGGCACGTGAGCTGTTGCCGTGTGCTGCAGGCAGGCGCTCCTTGCTCTCAGCCCACCTCACCTTTTACACCTGGGAAGGCAGGAGGAGGCAGTGACACTACCACATGAGTGCTGAACAAGAACTGGCTGGCCCCTGGCCTTCGTCTAGGCCATTTCTTAGGATTCATGCTGAATGCCAATTGTTTTGTATTTTCAAGTACAGAGAGTCAAACGGCAGAAACCCAGCAGCATTAAATACAAACTATTCCCAGTCAACTTTAGTAACTCAGTGCTCACTGGTGTGCCCACAATTAGCAATCAATTCGGTGCGATTTCCACAACAAGCCCTGTATCTCCAGGATTAAATTACTTGAACTTGACGATTTTTGTTTTTATCGGAGGGGCCCCGAAGCTTGGCATTGAACTGATCAGCATGGATGCAAATTTTCCTCTAAATAAAATGGATTATGTGAGTTAAGCTTCTTTTATTTAGCTATCAAGTGTTCTAGGAGGCTGCCTCTGATGCTGGCTAGCCTTGCCGATCGGCATGATAAACACACTGAACTTGCAAATGGGAACTCTGTGGTCATTAGGCTGGCCCAGGATCCATGACAGGCCCACTGATGGCTGTCCTCTGAGTAATCTCAAATGGCATGTCCTGAGCATCACCAGTGGCCCTCTGTGGGACTGTGTGTGGGAGTTAGGGGAGCATCCTGCAGCAGCCCAGCCATCATGTTTGGGCCAAGAAGATGGTAGCAAGCGACGACTGTTTTCCATCACATACACCTCAAGGAATAATTGCTGAGACAACCTGAGGCACCCAGCCGGAGCCCCTTCCTGGAGGAACCACTCCATCATTTTAACCTCATGTACATTTTCCTGCTACAAGCCATGTCACAACAAGGGGGCTCTCTTGACACATCCCCATTGTTTGTCCTGAAGACTCCATTTCTCAGGCTCCCAGAGCTGCCTCTGGCATGAGACAGGTTCACTTGGGATATGTCTGCCTGTCCACCACGTTCAGACCTAGCATGATCTAAGAAGGACATCTTCACAGCCTGGAGTCCGCCTAGGCTGTGCCCTCCTCCTCGTGCCTTCCTCGCGTCTGCTCCTCCTCCCTTCGCAAATCTTTCGGCTTGGGGACTAGGAGAGCTTAGGAAAGCAAGAACTGGAAGACAGATGGGCAGGAAAATGGAGAAGTGCCACAGCTTGCAGGCTGATATTTTCTCTTTCCTATTCTGCTTTTTAAGCCTTGCAACTGTATTAATGAAACCTGTCGTTAACAGGAAGTAGAAGTAAAGGCCTATAATAGCCCTGAAGTTAAAATTCAAAGCACTTTCTTAAGAGCACCCATATGGTGTCCATCAAAACATTAGACCACTACAGCCTTAACTGTGACAGAACTTTACACCCTGAGCATTCCAGGGTTTATCCTGAAACATCCCCCAGATGGATACATAAGACATGGGGGTCTGTTCTAGGTTCTTCCCTCCATGATTTGTACTGACACAGCACCTAGTCCATCGTGAGAAGTGAACCGGCATGGCAGCAGGCAGCCAGGTAGCTGGCATTCCAGGTCCCCAGGGGGAGCATGAAGACCACCACAGCCCTTCATGGGATGAAGCCCTTCGCAGACACTCGACCAGAGCTAGCTGTGACTGCAGGTCTATTCAGCAGGAGACCCAGTGGATGAAGTTTGCAGAAGGACCGAAAGGAAGGCCTTCCTTTTCAACTAAATGAAGCAAACACACTCCGTGGAATGCATCCTTTCAGAAGCAACCAATGCACTTTCCCCAACGGGGCAAATCCACGCCGTTAAGGCATCAAGACTCCACACCCCCAACGGGATTCTATAAAAAACATGTCCTCACTGTTGGATTAAGTGAGCCCTGAGCATCTGATGAGCAAAAAGGCTGCCGTTTGGGTAAATCTGAGCAATCTCAGAATTCCAAGGAGGAATTTATAAGCACGCTCTATCCCTACAGAAATGTCTACATTTCCAACACTAGCAACAGTGAAAATGGCTCGGAAGAAGAAAATGTTCCTCTGAAGAAGCCAAATCGAGTCTTGTCTCCTGGCTATGGGATCCCTCTTCTGCGCGGGGGCTTCGCTGGTTCATGGAGAGAAGCCTGGCAGTCCCTCGGAGTGTGTTAGGTGGCATATGTCTGCCCTGAGATCGTCCTGCATCCCTGATGATAGGAAACTGGCAGGCAGAGTGTGCAAGCAAACAAAAAGGACAAATACATTCCAAAGAGAGGTGAATTAGTACACGTTGCCGAGAACATGCAGGGAATCCTTGCAGGCGTGCTGGATTCGAGCAGCCCGGGTCTCCGATCCAGAGCTGGGAGAGGTGTTTACTCATCCGCTCTCCAGTGAGGTGGAGAAGAGTTTGTGAGGCTCACAGGACTTTCTTTGGATGAGAGGGAAGTTCTCAAACCTGCTGCCTCAAATATACGGCCAGGAGTTGTGGCTCAACCTTGTCTCCCTGTTTTAAGGAGGATGCTCAGTAGCAAGCTCGGAAACCCTGCCCTGCCACACACAAGGAGCTTTCCCTGCATGCATTCTCTCTCTCTCTCACATATCCCCTGCAACTGCATCGTGTCAAACTTTTGCAAACTCAATGGGCCCACAAAAAGATCACCAAAACACCAAATTCAAGGATAAAATTTAGCCCAGGGCCCCCAAAGCATTGAACTTCATGCATGGCTTTAGCATGATACACATTTCCATAAACTCTTAGAAGAGCCATCTATGCATGAAGTGAAAAGCTGTTTGACCCCCAAATATATTTGTCTTCGAATTCTGTTTTTGCATGGACTTTTGGCGGTGTGCTGGCCCACCCATAAGTGTGGGGAGTCATAATGAACTTTACATGTTGAATGAAAAAAGTGTTTGGTTCTGGGGAGACAGTGCAGCCAGCCCGTGAATGGAAGCAGCTTTTCCCTTGCCCTGCACAGCGGAGCACAAAGGCCATTTTCTCAGCAATGCAAGAGTCCTCAGTGTGTTTCTTCATGGCTAGAGAAAAACATACAACCTATTGTTTCTAAAACGTCTCCTGTTTTCCAGGTGGGCCCTGGCATTTACCTGGAGGAGCAGCTAGGAGGGGGGTGGGGAAAGTGCGTGTGTGCTTCACAGTTTTCATTAACAATTGTAATCCTGGGCAAGAGCTGTTTGGAACATGCCCGACTCTGCCAGTCCTTCTACTTGGGACTTAGAAACAAAGCCCAGAGCATTAAGTGTTCTTCACGAACACGCACACTGCTCACTGTGGAGAGAGAGACAACTTTCATCCCGGCACTGGCCTGGGAGGCAGGAGACCTAAACACTCGCCCGACACCTGTCTAGCTAGCTGTGTGGCCCGGACAGAGCTCCCCAGCCACGAAGGGAAAGTGGAGAAACTGGTGTTTACAGGGGATCTCATCTCACTTGCAGATCCCGGGATGGCCCAAATCCCCGCGCCTGTGGGGAGCCTGGGAAAGTCACAGGAATGCGTCCCGATTTCCAGGACACAATTAAACTGTCTCCATGTCAGTATTTATTCCTCGCATCTTTCCCAAGGGGCTCCGGATCCCCTGAGAGCCGGGCAGGTCTCTGGAAGCTCGCTACTACCCACACCTCCCACTTGCACTCTGGGTGAGAAATGGAATGCTGTGGCTGGCAGGGAGGGAGGATGAGGAGAGCCCAGAACCGTTGCTGCCAGCTGCAGCGAGGTGCTGTAGTGCTTCCTGACACCTACAAGGTCTCCCTGAAGTTCACCGCCTGTGTCGTCCCAGTAACAATGCTCAGAGGATGAAGTGTACCTTAAAATCTTTTCATGTATAGGACCATAGAAAGAGATGCCTTACTCTAGTAACATAACAAAAATCCTCCATCTACCTAAGCAGCTCAAATCCATTTCTGATTAAGAAATTTTGTTTCCCTGAAGCTTTGAGAATGATCATGGCAGCTGGGAAGGGAACCTACAGAAGACCTGGGGCAGGTAGAGTAAGGAAAGGCCTTTGCCTTGTACTGGGTGGTCAGGATGTACCAGCACCCACGATGCGAGCACTGGACATGGGGTGACCACCTCTCACATTCCATCTGGATGCACTGAATGGCCAGAAGAAATTTACAATGCAAGGAATGGCATTATAGGTCCCCATCATCCACAGTATGTGAACGGTGTCAATGTGCCAAAGAGTGTTTTTATGCTTTTTGTTTTCTTTCTCTGTGGTAAGAAAGTCTGGGTATGTAAATATTCATAGGAGAAAAAAAATATGTCCTTAAACTGTATCTGCCTTATAAGCAAGCACCCTCCTTGGCTTGACAGAGACCTGGGACGTGTGTGGGCACAGCAGGTGCCTGCCTCAGTGCTGGTGAGAGGACGGGTCTCCAGACCCTGTGCCGTAGGCAGCACCCACCCAAGTCAGACTCGCAGAGAGTGGAGCCCTGCAGCTCAGCTCAGCTCAGCTGTGGCACTGTCCAGAGCCAGCTAAGAATGTTGAGCTAACTGCTGTTTTGTGCAACGGTCTATTATTTTTATCCATAGATTTGAACCTGATAAAAAGAAAATTTGATAAACAGATTTGGTAGAAATGTTGTCTGTCTTACATGAAAATAGATGCTTTAATATCCAGTGATTCACCGGCATGCTCCGAGGATGTGATAAAAGACAGTGAGACTTTTTAGCATTCTGATGGGGCTTCTCTATTAGGATGCTGCATTAGATGAAACCCATGTCCAAAAAAGAAAAGTCACATTTTATCCAACATGCATTTCACGGAGATACTTGGAGGAATGAGGTAGAGTCTAAGTAAGATTAGCACCGCTAGCAATGAGCCAAAGCAGGACAACTCTACGTGCAAACATGCAGAGAGGAAGAAAGGAAAAAAAGTACCGAAGCACCAGAGAGATAGATGCATTTGTTAAAAGAGATTCTCTAAGCATACTAACCTGCTGGTTCTAATGAATTTTCTACTTTGTCGTTAACATCGAAAACACGATCATGAACACCTATAGTTTTCATACAGCTATCTATAACAAAAATAGAGATAACAGCCAAATATGTTAGTGAAGACACCCTTTAACTCCCATTGCTTTCTTGTTTTTTTTTCTTTCTCTCTATTTTTTTTTCCTTTTATTTAGGTAGAGATTGTTTTTACAATCAGTGGCACGCATCCAAATGCCAGTATTGTTCCCATTTGCTGCGCACGTACAACAGTCTAAGAAACAACAAGTTAGCAACTGCTGTGTACTTAAATAAAAGCATCATGAAGAATGATGAGAAAAAATACAATGAAAACTAAAACATGGATATGATACATGGAACAGGTACCACACAATGTCTAACAGTAACAAAGTTTTACCGCTGTGAACCGGACCACACAATAAAGCATGCGCAGTCAAGCCACCCTGGGAAGCTCATTTGGGGGGGAACTTACTTGTTGGTCTCACAAACACTTTGAGCTTTAGGCAGGATCTTCTTCCATTATCCGGGATGGCGGAGGCTGTGTGTAAGACAGAGAGGACGGGAGAAAAAGAAGAAAGCAAAAGGAGGTTACTCTTGATGACTTTCACACACAAGTACTCTGCATTGTATCTGTCCTGACCACGGCGAACAAATTCATTCATCGCAGAAACTCTGAGACAATGCTTTTGCAGTTGAGTTTAGCTGGTTAGAAAGGCCCGGGAGGAGGTTTTCCGAAGCTCATGGAGAATGGAATTAAAAGATAAACTTGTTTGGGTGCAGAGTTCTTTGAGGAGCCATGCATGCCTTCCTTTTCTCTGTATGCATTTTCCAGGAGCCTTTGGAAAGACTCTGGCGCTAGCAGACCCCTATCATTTCTCTCCAACACAATAAAGAAGGACTCACGCAAGAATGTGGGTAATCTGTAAAAAAAATACTTGGGATTTTTATTTCAAAGGCTCTTCCCCTTCCCTTGCTCTGTTATCAATTTTCTCTAAATCGAGAGGATCACGCCTGAGCCCACAGCTTTCACAGGGCTGATCTTCCTGTACTACACGGAAACGGGCCCACTGGAGGCCCAAGGTCAAAGTGCTGGCACAAGCCAACTGCAGACAGCATGCGAGGTGTACTTGAACGTGACCTCTTTGGCTGAGGAAAGCAGAGCTTTGTGGGTCCTAGAAACTTGGATCTGCTAGGGCTTTGCAGGTAATTTTATTAGAGCTTTAACTCAAAATGTGGCCCTGAAAATGGCTGCATCTAGCCCAGCCATTTCCATCATGCCATTGTAAGTATAACAGCTGTTGGGAAAGCACTACGTTGTGGTGGTACATTTATTTTCATGAATTTGCCACAGAGAAAGATGGAATTAATAAAGTGGGCTTACCAAAAACATGACAACATGGCTCAAGTTATAAATCATTTGAGGAAGAAACTTTCTTCTCTTCCTCCTGATAATAGGTCTGTAAACCTTCCCTACTTTGGAAAGATTATCCCCTCCTGGGTCCCACAGTGCAAGGTCAAATGGACTGTTGAAGGCAGGAAGACCCTTCACATCCACATGTATTTACTAAACGTGTTCTAGAAATGACAAAAATTACCGGAACACGGCTGCATATTTCCCTCCCTACGAGCTGGCCTCAAGTGCTTTCATTGTTTAGAAGTAACAGATGACATCAATCAAAACACATATGGCTCACACGGCGCTTGGTAATACCCAGAGTGACAGAGAGTGAGAGGATCAGCATTTGGTGTGCTTGCTTTCTCTCGCAGTTTGACTTTTTATTATTCCTTGCAGCGAGTCCAGGAAACAGAAATGCTGACTTTGCAGGCGAGAGGACAAAGCACAGATGGACTGGACACGAGGTTGCCTTGGGTAACCTCCGGATCCAGGTAACTGTCCCAGCGGGAAACTAAAGAGAAATTCGGGGTCCACAAACTGTCATGGAGTGAAGTGCTCCCAAAGTACCTCTGCTACAAGTACCTCTGCTACACCTGTTGAAAACTCTTCTAATTTAAAGACAAAAGTATAGGGAAAACATGTCTTTGGCCCTGTCTCCCTCGGTCGCTCTGACAAGCAGCGAAGAAGCGCTAACAGCTGGCTTGGCTGTGGACTTTCGTTAAATCAAAGTCGGAAAAACTCCCTCTGCTGACATTTACAGAAACTAGTGTGTTATTTAGGGCACAATATTTGCACTCTGGTTTGATCCAGGAAATGGTGTCCTTCCTGTGGTCCCCACTGCAGGCATGCCTGTCACACACTTAAGTGATTCGGGCTCACCAGAGCAACTGTGGGTTCTCAAGAGAGAGGTGCCAAGGTGACAAGTGGCACCCTGCCAATCACTGCTTTTTACACAGGGAACTGTAACAGCATTAATCTCAACGCAGGATCAAATGTTTCGTGGTTTGGGTGAGACACTCTACAGATGTGGGACGGGTTTAACCAAGGTCTACTTAGGCCAATCTAGACTCTAAGAACGATCAGACCTGCAATAACCAAAGAGCAGCAAATGATAAACCACCCAGGAAAGAACTGGAGATTTCCTCAGCTAGCTCTCAAAGACAGGCTATCGCCTTAACCACCCGGTGAGCTTCATTCCTCCGGCCCAAGCATAAATGTCAACTACATGCATACGAAGTAGACCATACAAAGTTCATGGAAAATGCATATTATTGAAAAAAAACACATGACTTCCAAATTTTTTCACATCAAAAATAAACCTGAGTATTTTTTTTTAAGAAAATGTTTGTTTATTTAAAGGCAGAACACCTGGCCCTGGACCAGCCCAAAAACAGGTGTCAGGAACTCCATCGGAGTCTCCCATGTGGGTGGTGGAAATCTAAATACTCAGGCCATTATCTGCTGCCTCCCGATGTTTTAGTCAGGAGCTGAATCAGGAGCAGTGGAGAAGGCCAGTACTGGAATTAAGTGCCGCGATATGGAATAAGAATTTCCTAACGGTGGTTTAACTCATTTTCTCACAATGACCGTCTTTGAACTTAAACAAAGCTTTAGTTGCTTATTCGAAAGCCACAGTTACAGAGAGAGAGAGAAGGAGAGACAGAGAGACCTTCCATCAGCTAATTCACTTCCCAGATGACTGCAACACCCAGGCCAAAGCCAGGAGTCAAAAACTTCATCTGGATCTCCTACCTTTGTGGCAGGGTCCCAAGTACTTGGGCCATCCTCTGTGGCTTTCCCAGGCAGGCCATCAGTAAGGAAGTGGAACAGCCAGGACATGAACTGGTTCTCATATAAGATGCTGTTATCACAGGGGGTGACTTTACTCATTAGGCCATACCACTGGCCTTTAACTTTTAATCCCATTTTCCATGAACTTTTCCAAGTATCCCACATTTATAGAAACTACTTAAGCTTCTCTTTCCCTATAAACCTTCCCATGACCTCATCTGCTGTCACCGGAAAAGCTGTACAATCTCATGACAAATGACTTGTGATATTGCTTGACTTTTTATCCCAATGCTTAGAAGAATTTACAGAGAATATTAACACACAATGTGATAAGCGAGGACATGACCCAGATAACAGAAAATGGTTGATCTGAGCTCAAGGGGCAAGTTCTAAGCCTCAGGGCCAACCCGAGAGGTGCCCTAGCTGGGCCAGTACAGCTCAAGCTCTGTATTGACCAGGCAACAAAACAAAAATAAAGCGACTCTCACTCTCTTTTTTAAAAAGTGAGAGTGTGTCTAACTTGCCTGTGGCTAGCATCCCCGTGCTGGCTGATACATGTAGGACGAGTAGATACAGATGGTTAATTTGCAAAAAAATATATGACAAAACATGGTCATGCAAAAGCGCTTTACCAGTCATAAGCAAACAGGGCGAGGAGAAACAAAATTACAACATAATAGAAGAATCGGATGCATGCAATATCTCCACAGGTAGGCCAAGGAGACAAATCATCTTGGGATGATTATGAGCTAAAGAACTTTGCAGTGGGAGGAAAAGCTTCAACTATGGCAGGCTGTAGTCAGGAAGGAGCAAGACCCCGTGACTGGGATTCTAGAGATGCTTCCATTTGTAAGGAGTCACCTCATCTTTATCACAGCGATGTGTAGGTACAATGTTACACATACGTCAGTTATTTACATTTTGTATGTGTGTCATATTGCAGTCAGATGGGACCTACATTTACCAGGGTACTTGAAAATGTTCAGGGAAAAGGAAACTGAAAGTATTTTATGTCAAGCATAATTTGAAATGCATCTTAAACCATGATGCGTATGTCTTAAGACTGGTTTTTCCCACTAAAATAAAGTGTGTATTTTATTTTTGCACAAGTCTTTTGAAGTGCCCTTGTGTGTAATAGCTACACAGATATTTCTTGAGCTGTTTTCCTTTGAAAATGATTAACATTATCAATATGTGTTATATATGACTGCAGCTTCATCCATTGCTCCAAACACCTATAAAATTCCTACCGTGCATAGCCTCTGCAGTGGATAGTGTAGACACAAGGCTGGTTTGGACACACGGGTGTGCCCGTGTGTTGTACGTATGTCAGCTGGGACAGGAGTCTGACCACAGTGGCTGGCCGAGGTGATGCCGGGCACGTCCCCAACAGGATGACCAGAGGGACCTTTTACTGTATAATAATTGTTGCAGACATTTTATTGAATTTGTAAAATTTAAAGGAAAGAGAGCGTGAGAAAGGGATTTTCCATCCCCCGATTCACTCCCCCAAATACCTGCGCTAGCCAGGGCTGCGCCAGCATGAAGCCAGGAGCCTGGGACTTGATTCAGTTCTCCAGTATGGACGGTAGGAACCCAAGGACTTGGGTGCAGACCCCTCAGGGTAGGAAGCAAAGGTGGGACTTAACCCCACACCCTCTGGGGAGGGGTGGGTATGGACAGCTCAAGCAGCAGTTTAACATGCTTGCACTACAATGCCTGTCCCACCACAGGGGCCCTTATGAGGATCTCCATGGATCTTCCAGAAACAAACCAATAGTGACCAGCACAAAAGCCTGAAAACCCTTCATTCCTAAATACTCACACTGGAGCTTTTGCCAGCAAAGAGAGGTATTATCCTGCAATAGGTTAATAAAACCTAGGCTTCCATTTTTCCCATAGTGATCTATGAATTTTCTAACAGCAATATTCAACAAAAATGAAAAACATCTTAAATAGTTGCCATATAATCTAAATTCATATCCTTTACTTGGTTTACTGCTGAAAATGTACCATTCAGCGTCAGGAAATTGGGAATAGGTATATGGGGCCCATTAAATTAAGCACCACCTCCCATTCCATTATCTTAATAGTAACTTCATAAATCAATCCAGAGGACCCTAATGAGCTGCAAAGCACCCATCAAAACTTTGCAATACATAATGAAACACAAACTGGGGCCCTGGTGCTTCTTCGCATTTAAAGAATCAAGCTAATAAGACCATAAGGGTCCTTTTTCATATCTGGGTTCCATAACCTCAGTCAGGGGTCCCCAGCTTCATTCATTCCAAAAAACCTAGTGCTTTGGTGGCCGGGGGCTCAGTACTTCTCAGCCAATTTGGCACACACTC